AGGTTCCAACTGGAAAGCTCCAAGAGGCTGCAAAGGTTGTGATCGGATGATGCTCTGGCACTGCTCCCCCATGAAGGAATGGAAGTTGGGCCGTTTGCTTGAGCTTCCACTGCCTGCAGCACCAGGACAACCGAAACATGTCGGCTTCCAATCGGAACCTTTCGCCACCTACACCCACCCTACTGCTACTGCTACTGCCCCACGGGCCTTTCCAGCAACTCCGCAAACTGCTCCAACGACCCTCCTTGGAGCAATTTTCAGCCCTCTCATCCTGCACGCGACGTGAAGGTCCAGCACCCATGGCGCCGCCGTGGACAATCGTCGTCCAGCGGAGGACCAGGACCAGGACGCTGTCCGTGTCCGGTTCGCTTGAGGACGCTGCGGGGCACAACGAGCGTTGCCAGCAGGGATTGGTTGTATGGGTTGCCTATGGCATGCCTGTCAAACGCGATCTATTTTGCCTCACCTGCCCTGGGATATGTCGGACACCTGCCACCGAAAGCGCGGACGAAGAGGAAGCGAACAAGAACGTACGGGGGTTGGCTCTGAAAACGTACCGAGTGTTCGCGCGAAAGCGCGAACACTCGTTGGTCATGCTCTTCGTCTCTCTTCGCTTCGCACACGGCCTGCAAGGACTTTGAGAGGAGATTCACTTTGTTGATGAGCTGCCTCGAAGGCAGGGCAGAACAACACTTCAGTGGTGCTGAAAAGCAAAGTGGCTGGGATCTAGACCCCAAGTGATGCCCTTGCTTGGAACCCCCCCTTTAAAAAAAGGAAGGAGAATCGATGAAAACTTCGAGGAACATCGACACCAAGATCCATCGCTTCCGACGCGTTCGGGAAGCGAAGAGACATCGGAGGGCGGACGTTCTCGCTCATCGGGAACCCTCGATGCGACCATCGGAGACCATCGGAGGTGTGGGACTGAAGGTGAATCGGTGAACCCGCAGCGTTCGGTGACCGCCTCGTCTTCTCCTTGGCAAGCAAGTTCTGCCCTTCGCTGTTCACCTGAGCGAAGGTGCGCGAGCGAAGGAGCGAAGGCTGGAGCATTCAGTAGCGGGGAGTGGGTCAGGACCTGTCAAGAGTGGGGGTCTTGTCATTTCTTCTGATCAAGCCCATGTCCATTTCCTTTGGGGGTCTCAGGATCACAACTCATTCTTTCTCGCTGACGACAGCGAAATCGGCCCATCATCCACTGAAGGGTGGACGTTTTCAAGTCAACAATAGACGAACAGCATCATCTCAAGAACTCATCCAGCCAACAGATGCATCTCATGTCTTCAAGCATCAAACATCTGCTTGAGGACTTGCTCTGCATCGTCCCAGGCCCCCGCACCAGCATCAGCGGAGGACCCGAAAGCTCGTCGGGCGCCTCAGTTTGCTCGTCGGGCGCCTCAGTTTGCTGCTCCACCTCGTTGGTCTCCACAGGTGCCACCTGCAGTGGATGGTTCAAGCGTCCAAACCCACCAAACACCCCAAGCGTCCGAACGCCCGATTGATCCTGACGTATGGTATAGTGGTCCCCAAATAGATAGTGGCACGGTTCCAAGACATCCCAATTGAGTGGGGATTCACTTTTCTATCTATTTGGAGGTCTGTACAGTATAAGGTCATACGTCATACCACTCCGGACGGTCCTACCTCCTCAGGCGCCTCCTCTTCCGGCGGCGGCAAGTCTTCGCCCGCCGCCGGCACCGGCTCCTCCAGCGCCTCAACAGGCCCAGCCTGGGGCGGCACACCTGCGGCTTCACAGCAACAATCAGGGGTCGCCGGGGTCACGAGGAGGCCAAAGGAACATCGAAAAATAGGGAGAAAGTAAGAGAACTATCACCCCAAACCTTGTCCAAGCGCATGAAAGCTGCGAGCGATCTTGATGAAGACCTACATAAACCTCCACCTATATCTATACCTTCGCCTTCTGTTACCTTCTAGATTCTATTGCAATTCTGTCGTCCTTCACCAAGCCTTGTCTTGGCTCGGCACCTTCTTCCTTGGGCCCAATGGTCTTTGCATCCCCCATCGTCTCATCGTAACCTCAGCAAATAGGTCACCTGCCACTTCGACCGAAAAAGGAACCTCGGCAGCGAGGAGCCGCCCCTCAGGTAGACTAAGGTAGGACCGACCTCGATCTAAGTCGCCGAGCAAAGGCGTCGTTTAAGGGGGACACCTCGGATGGTCCTGGTCCTGGTCTCTATTCTTATAAACATAGGACGTGTCAGTGCCAATTGGTGGCGACCGGGTGTCTATTCACCACCCCCTAAAGTCCAAAGACCACCCCTTCAGGTCTCCTGCTATCCGAATCAAGCTAAACAATGGGCAACCTGGTGCAGCACACATCGGGTCATCTTCGTGGAAGCTGATGGTGCACCAACCGTTACATTCGGACAAAACTATACAAAACATCTGGAGAGGAGTGAAAGGTCCTGGTTCATCCCTTGCACTTCCAAGCTGCGGTGTCCATCATCCTCCTGGTAGCCATCCTGGTAGCCACCCTGGTAGCCATCCTGGTAGCCACCGTGGTAGCCACCCTGGTAG